CAGCCACGTCTCCCCACTGCTCCGCGTAGAACTCCGGAGGAAGATTGTATATCCGCAATATGTTGTCGGCACTGTTGGTAACCAGGCAGGTTCCATCGGGGGCCCTGCAGAAGAGGGGAGGGGGTCAGAAACCCCCCCCAAAAGAGACTCTCCCCCATTCAGGAGGGTTTCCGCCCCCGGCCCATCACGCTAAGCGAGTCGGGTTTGTTTCAGCCACAAACAGGGGGAGAATGATCACACAAAGCTGACCCACAAGGGAAGTTGTGTTACTTTTGCCAAACCAAGGAGGGTTTCATGCCAGGGTTTCTGAGCCTCGGCAAAGAGGGGTGGACTTCAACTCCCAGCATTCCCTACCCCAGCAATGGAGAATCGATAATCCGGTGCTGGAAGGGACCCTGGAGGTCATCTAGTCCAACCCTGCCCCAGAAGGACATTGTTAGAAGTGATTTTCTGTCTTTTGATCCTCCAGTGACATGACTACATAGGCACGCCCACCCCAGTCACATGACGCCCTCCCCAGCAAGCGAAAGAAAGAAAGAAAGAAGGAAAGAAAACGGAGAAAGAAAAAGAGAAGGAAAGAAAGAAGGAAGGAAGGAAAGTAAAGGGAGAAAGAAAGCGAAGAAAGAAGGAAGGAAGGAAAGAAAAGGGAGAAAGAAAGAGAAAGAGAAAGGAAGGAAGGAAAAGGGAGAAAGAGAAAGAGAAAGAAAGAAGGAAGGAANTTCTATTTTCTATTCTATTCTATTTTCTATTCTATTCTCTATTGATGCTATTCTATTCTCTATTCTATTTTTTGTTCTACTCCGAATTCTCTTCTCTGTTCTTCCATTCTATTTACTTCCTGGCCTTTAGGTGACGGAAGGCAGGGAGAAGAACGGAAGGAAGAAACTTACAAGCAAGTTTCCGGCTGGGAGGAATTCATCAGCGGGAACCAGCAGTAGTCGTAGAGGGTGTCTCCTTCCGCCATGCGCAGCACGGGACTCTGGGGAGGGAAAGAGGGGGAGACGTGGGCTTCGGGGAGGGAACCCCGGAAGGTTGATGGGACGGGGGGGCTCACCCCCCCCAAAAAAAGGCTCCGGGGCCCTTCTTTCTCGACCTTAAAAAAGATGGGGGGAGGGACTTCAACTCCCAGAATTCCCCTCAAGGATTGACTCCCCCAAGAGCAGACTTCACTTTCCTTCCATTTGCATCTCCTTCCTTCCTTCCTTCCTTTTCTATCTCCTTCCTAACTCTCTGTCCCTCCCCGCCTCCTTCTTCCTTTTCTATTTTCCTTCTTCCTTTTCTCTCTCTCTTTCCTTCCTCTCTCCTTCCTTTTCTATTTCATTTCTCCTCTTCCTTTCCTTTTCTATTTTCTTCCTTTTCTCATCTCCTTCCTTCCTCTTTTTTCTTCCTCCCTCCCTTCCTGTCTCTTTTCTTCTTTCCTTTTCCTCCCTCCCTTTGTCTCTTTCCTCCCTCCCTACATGTCTCTTTTCCTCCTCCGTTCTGCACTTTCTTGCTTCCTTCCTTTCTCTCCTTCCTTTTCTATCTCCTGCCCACTTCTCTCTCTCCCTCCCCATTTCCTTCTTCCTTCCTTTTTCCTGTTGTTTTCCTCCTTCCTCTCTCCCTCCCCATCTCCTTCCTTTTCTATTTCCTCCCTCCCTTCCTTTTTTCTTTCTCCTTCCTTCCTCTCCCTTTTTTATCTCTTCTTCCTCTCCTTTCTTTTTCTTTCTCCTTCATTCCTCTCCCTTCCTTTCCTCTCCTTCCTTCCTCTCCCTGTCCCCATCTCCTCCTTCCTTTTCTATTTCATTTCTCCTTTTCTCCCTTTACTCTTCCTTCCTTCCTTCTCTATCTCTTTCCCACTCTCTCTGTCCCTTCCCATCTTCTTTTCTTTCATTTCTTCCTCCCGCCTTCCTTTTCTATTTTCTTCCTTCCTTCCTCTCTCTCTCCACATCTCCTTCCTTCCTTTTCTATTTCCTCTCTCTCTCTCTCTCCGTTTCTTCTTTCATTTTTCTTCCTTCCTTCCCCCTCTCTCTTTCTTCTTTCATTTTTCTTCCTTCCTTCCTTTTCTATCTCCTCTCTCTCTCTTTCTTCTTTCATTTTTCTTCCTTCCTTTTCTATCTCCTCTCTCTCTTTCTTCTTTCATTTTTCTTCCTTCCTTTTCTATCTCCTCTCTCTCTTTCTTCTTTCATTTTTCTTCCTTCCTTTT